TCTACATACTGCTCACTATATTTTCAGGCTCCTTGGGAGTTTCCTGTTCAGTTTCCTAGCATATTACCCTCCCTCCTGCCCCAATAGTCCCATCTCTGCACCTCCACATACCCCATCCCCAACCTGTCCCTCCCATTTTCCCTGAGAACAGCCTGGCTTCAATGCCACTGACATGGTAAGTGGTGGCCATCTTTGCCAGGATTCCTCAGATTAAGGTTGATAGGTGCTTTTGGATAAGAACAAAACTTTTTCAGAATTCTCAGTCTTTCAAAGTGCCGGGATCCACTCACCGCTAGGGCACCTTCTTCTGGCTGCTCTGGGGATTAGCTCTTTCTATGTCCGACATCATCTTCTGGTGCTTGTTCGCACATCCTGCCACCAGCCAGGTCACTATAGTCCTCCCTTAGCAGAATCCTATCAGGCGACTGTCCCAGGCAGCCTTCAGCTCCATTGCCCGGTCTGTGCCATTTCCCCAGTGTCAGGTAGGAGAACCCCCCATGCCCACCCTCTACTCAGGGTTCCAGTCCAGGGACCCTATGTCTCACAACTGCGGTCTGTTTTCTCCCAGACCCTATTGCTCTTTCCCAGTATTCCTTCCTACATCTTTTAGCTCCCCCAGATTTACCAGCTTAAACTGCCTCCTCCCAGGGAGCAACTGCAGACTATTAAACACCATAGCCCGACACACATCTCCCAGGGAATGACTGCAGACTACTTCCCCTACAGCCCCTTTTAGCTTCTGACTTTCTGGCTTTATTCCACCCCATGTGATCCTTCTCAGCGAGTTACCTCATCAATCAGTCTCTCAAGCCCTGTCTCTCCCTCAGGTACAGCCTATCAAGTTGATTAATCTAACTTAACTTGCTCTACCTTGTGTGGGGGAGAAGACCCCCTCACAGTCCCAAATATCATAAGACCTGCTACCAGCACAGCCAGCTAGCAGGCTGCATAAGCTTACACAATCCAGTTCACTCTAGTCTGCTCAGGGAGGAACTGTGCCTCCCTGAATTACAGTACCTCACTGAATTTCTGGTGAAGTGCTACACTTTGGCCCAGAATACAGCATACTGCAGGCAACAGAACATTTTATTATAGACATATATCAGCAGTTCTCAAACCGTGGGTTGGGACCCCAAAATGGGTTGCGACCCTCTTTTAATGGTGTTAGACTTGCTGGGGCCCAGGGCTGAAGCCCTGGGTGGTGGGGCTCAGATTACAGGCCCCCCGTCTGGAGCTGAAGCCCTTGGGCTTCATCTTTGGTCCCTTGCCCAGGGTGGTGGGACTCAGGGTTTGGCTCCCCTGCCCGGGGCAGCGGAACTCAGGTGGACTTAGGCTTCGGTTCCCTCTCCTGGGGTCATGTAGTAATTTTTTGTTATCAGGAGGAGGTTGTGGTGCAATGAAGTTTGAGAACCCCGTCGTATATATATAGGCAGAGGTCTGAATTAAATGCAAACCTTGTTTGCTAGAAGAGTATAGAAGGCTCTTCCCCTTTACTCTGGGGCAGGGCCATACACAGAACTGTGCACATCAAAGGACCAAAACTAGCAGAAACCTTGCTGGCCTTACAGAACGCAGAGATCTGCTGAAATAATTGAACTATATTACACTGTATATTTCAGAAAGATAAAATTTGCCTCTGGAAGCTTTTTATAGGCTGATCTGCTAATGCACAGTAATTGTGCCTACTATAAATCCTTAAGAAACTTTTAATGAGAAATACTTACTGTTCACAATTCTCCAGTTCCCCTAACTATATTTCTGTGTTAAATATTTTAGATTTTTAAAAATCTTTAAAAATCAGTTAAATTACAGTTTAACAGGAAAGGTTAAAGGTGGTTTATTTTCAGGAACACAAAAAAAGTATCTCAAACCATAAATCTATTCTTTTAGCCATTCTGATTTTTAAAATAACCCCCCATTTTTTAAAAAAAAAGAGTAATAATTATTTTCTAAACCTGGGCATGTAAAATATTAGACCATAGCAACATTTAAAGATTAACTTGAAAACAGATGTTTATAATGAATCAGATGTACTTTAACTTTAATCACATTACCAGGTACTATTAAAACATGCTTTTGAGTCTAAGGGATATGTTGATCTTACTGATAACATTCTAAATGATCTTGGATAAGGAAGTATGACCTGTAGCCATGCATCCTCCACAGTGATCTCAGCAGTTCTGACAAACTAAACGGGATCAAGTAAGGCCAGTACTTGAAATGGGAGAGCTAGTGGGTTTTTTTGTGGGTGGAGGGGGGGGGGCAGAGAGGGGGAAGAGAGATTAGGTGCTTTGGCCAGTAACGTTGGTACTTCAGGACGCACTTTTCTCTTTGATTAAACCAATTCCCTGCCTAGCATGAGCTGTTACAGTTACTGAACCCAGTTTTCTCCCTGCAGTATATGATTTACTTTCATCGAACTCAGTGTTGATTTTCTTGTCTTCATTTCTAATATAATATAGTAGTGGAATGCTGAAATATCATAAGATCATTATTAAGAGAAACACTTTGGGTTTTGCTTGAATACGGCGGGGGGGTGAAGGGGAGAGGGGAAGAAGGTTGTCAGAGAAAAGAACAAACTCAATGGGTTAAAAAAACACCAACAAACTTCAGTGGGTAAATTGAAATTACCACTAAGTGTTCCATGTGAGAAGTGAATCTTAATCTGTTTAATTTTTAAATGGACATATGTACCCAGGAAAAATATTGCTCTACTATTTAGCTTTGATGAGTAGCGATATTTGTTTGGCCCCACTGATGGATTACATGCTTTAGTTTTAGTTCCCCATCAATGCTGAGAACTTGGAAGAGAGTGGAATCAGGGTAGGTTTGGCGTGAGGGAGTTGGGCAGTATTCTGTGAACGCAGGCAGGAGATGTGGCCTCCGTAACTTCCGCAGAGAACAGCTCCGTGTTTCTTTAGCTTAGGATCAGGATGGATCAGTGTATCTGCAATAACATACATTCAGTGATCACTCCTCCCATGCACCAAAGACATAGCAACTTCAGGGGCTGTTACAGCCACAGAACCATTCCTCTACTGCTTCACAACCAGCAAGGGCAAAGGGAAAAAGATTCATTGGTATGCTCTGCCTGCATTCAATTGCTTTGGTACACAATGCAGCCATAATCCTTTAACTAGCAGCCAGAGTGCAACAGTATATCTGGTTTACCCCTTCCCTTAGACACCACCGTGCTAGTTTGACCTTGCTTTGTGAAAAGGATTTGGCCCTTAATTATTATGTCCTAGAAATTGTATGCATTTAGTTACCACTGACTCAGATAAAAACATCTCCCAAACCATATTCTCCAGCTCATGGCTCATGCAAACAAATGAAATATTTAGTAGAAACTATCTATATGAAATTTGTCTACTCAAGCTTCTGTGATCTCAAAGCACGTCCTTATCTCCCTCTGCTGGAGATGGGGAGATGACACTTTGAGGTTCTTACCCACGAAAGCTTATGCTCCCAATACTTCTGTTAGTCTTAAAGGTGCCACAGGACCCTCTGTTACTTTTTCACAGTGTATCTTATAAGGTTTGTTTCATGTAATGTCCTGACTAGCTAAGTCAATAATGCTGCTCAGCTTCCTTTCCTGAGCTGAGATATAATGAGAAAGAATTCCCACCTGCCAGCTCTCCAGGATTTCCCCATCTCAGCCTTAGCTAGAATCTGTCAGAATACACTTTGAAGCCTGGAGCTTCTATGGGAGCATTAACTGGCTGCTTCTCAGCATTCCCTGAACTTTTGGTAAAGATGGTAGTGGTTTGTCCAGTGTAGAAAACCCAGCACAATTGTTCTGTCCTAAAGAGTTTTCATATCAAGCTCTGAAGGGCTTGTATAGCCTGTCAAAGTGTCACATTTCTTTGCTTTAAAGTTTATCTTTAAAATATTTTAAGGTTGATACATATTTTTACTAATGTTTTGCTTTATATTAATGCCATCACCGCAATCAACATGCTATTAATAAATTGAAACTACTTCATATTTTAGAGATTGAGTTAAATGGTGGAGAGGTTATAAAAAAACAAGAGACAATGAAAACAGCATAAAAGTAGTAAATATAAGAAACAGGGTTGGAATCTGTGGAGTTAGTCACTGCTATGCCAATAAACATTGGCAGTTGTTTCCATTTCCAATATGTGAAATTAAGAACAGCTTACTATCTTGGAGGCTATTGTTCAGATTTAACTTCATAAAATATATAAAAAAGTTAATCTGGAGATAGCAACTTACTATGGTGATGAGAACAATGTTTTAGTTTCCTGTTAAAAATATTGTCTTATCATTATCACAAGACTGTTAATGACACTGTTATATTTTTTAGGGAACTAATATTAGTAAGTCTAATGGACAGTAGTTTACTGTACAGGCACAAAAATGCTCTGCCTTTCTAAAAGCATCAAACATTCTGTAAATGTGCCATTTTCCCTGTTAGTAGTAGAAAATTAACCATTAAAAAAACTTAGTTACACAATCCCTTCATCCTCAAACTAGGGGGACACATTTACAGAGAATGCCAGCCATTTATTAACAAGATCATAGATTACAGATCAGGCTCTAAAACTAGACTGTCCTTTTTCTTTAAAACTGTTAAACTTTTGAAATCTCTGAACACAGACAGTGGTAAGTCCGAGAGTCCTTATGTAGTTCTAAAATGAGACCTTCATTTTACCAGATGCGCAGTGAGCACACATCCTGTTAGAAGTCAGCCACTTTTAAATGGCACGCCAAGAAATAAAGATTTAAAGCTAACAAATAGTTTTATGGTAAAAGCTGAAACAATTGGTTTGCACTAAAGTGCACTTTTATCTACTATCTTAAGCAAAATAACATGGAGAAAATGAAGGGAAACGTAAACACTAACCTAATATTGCTGTGTCACCGGAGTTAATTGCTCAGTGTTTTGTGTGACATCCACACCTCTTAGTCAACTATTTGTTGTGTATTGCAATTGTCACCAAATGCAAGACTTTAATTCCTTTTTCTTTAATTTACAGGGTTGTTCTGGCTGTGGAAAATGTGACTGCAGTGGAGTAAAAGGGCAAAAAGTGAGTATCTCACTGTATCTGTCTACTTTTCTGACTTATATTGGCAACACCACAGAAATTATTGGAAGACAAATGAGATGCAGTTAGAGATGGGTCCACAGACAACTGCTTAGTGTGTAGGTCTACAACTATGCAGCCCTTCTTAGGCCCAAACTGTGGTAGTGTCAGAGTTTGGTATGGCACAGAGTTTGGAACTGTTAAGAGAAATTGTGAAAATGAAACTTTTTAAAAATGGGGATTACTAAATGTTAAATTTGAAATATATTAGCACAAGATTTTTAACACAGCTGACACTCAAATACATACTTCTACAAGTATCACCTATTGTTAGGGAACCAGATTCTTATAAAACATGTAGGAGTTCCATATAGATCAGGGGTTGGCAAGCTTTAGCACGTGGCCCATCAGGGTAATCCGCTGGCGGGCCACGAGACATTTTATTTACGTTGACTGTCCGCAGGCACGCTCCCTTCCCCTCCTCCCCCCGCAGGTCCCAGTGGCCGCAGTTCACTGTTCCTGGCCAATGGGAGCTGTGGGAACCAGTGGCCAGCATGGGGGCCCCCAGAGCTGCAGGCAGCAGGGGTATCCCCCAGTCCCCAGCTGCTGCAGGTGACTCCTAGCCCCTGCACAACTGCCCCACTTCAGGTGGTGTGGTGACCCGCAGATCCCCATTTTGTCACAGATATTTTTAGTAAAAGTCACGGCCAGGTCACAGCCTCTGTGAATTTTTCTTTTTTGCCCATGGCCTGTCCATAACTTTTACTAAAAATATCTGTGACAAAATCTTAGCCTTACTCATGATGCACTGTGCGGGTTGGTCAGAAGGGAGTCCCATTGCATCAAGGGAAATGTAGTCCAGCCAGGAAGCCCAGCCCATAGGAGAGAATGGGGGCCTGAATTACAACTCCCAGGAAGAGATGTACACAACAGAGAAATACACTTTAATGTTGAACTGACTTGAAGTAAAACATTTTGGTTCAGTTCAACAAACTGAAATATTTCAATTTGGGTCTCACCAATCCTGAATGAAATATTTCTTTTTGATTTTTCCCCACAGAAAAAATGATTGACAGAAAATTCCTGGCCAGCTCAAAAAAATGTTTTTTTTCTGTATTAGTAAAAAATGCATGTTTAATATTAATGACAGTTACACAATCGTAGTAAATCCTTTTCCATTGCAATCCCTTTGGTGCAGCTTTTAAAGTCCCATTTTCTCAGGCTGACAATGTGTCCTTCAGTGTAATTTGTGTTAAAATCTACATCTCTTGAATAAAACTAGAGTAATCCACGATCTTTGTAAGAGAAGTGTGGGTGTATTGAAATACACTCCCAAGGTGTGGCTCTGCAATGCAGCCCCTTTCATGGCTTCTATTCCTGCCTATGAATTCGCTGGCTTTGTAAATATCATTGATGTGTAAATACGACCCCTCTAGCTCTTCTTCTCATTCATTTTCTGCTGTACAGTTTTTAATGTACACTGTACTGGTTTGGTGCAAACACCTTGCATACATTCCTGAGTATAGTATAGAGGTTTAATCAGTATGAATTTGGGATAAACATGTTAATCAGGAATGAACGGTGCAGCCCAAATGTGTGCTCCTAAAGCTTTTTATCACGACATACCAGTCTTGTATTCTGTACTATTAAACATACATTATAGAAGAACTTTAAGGATGTTTTAGAGAGTTAAAATGTTTGTTGGGGACTTCCTTTTGTATTTCTTTTTCTGGAAAATCAAACTGCCTTAACTGGAGGCTAAAGGCAGGTGAGGCAGTTGAAGATGCATGATAATTTCTTTCATAACAGAACATGGATCAAGTTGTAGGGTAAATAGTTTCAGAAGTTTCTAGGAGGTACTCTTCTAACCTTTTAAACCAACAAGTAGCATCAATTAAGTCATCCGTCCATTTAATAAAAAAGACAAAGTAGCATGATTCATTTCACGCTAGAATTCCTGAAAACCTCAGGATTCTGAACTCTGACCTTATTCTCTATTTACCACTCTGTTCTAGATATTTCTTGTTTCTCAGTTCAACAGTAAATAAATTATTGTGGACAGAAGTTTTAAGCCCACAACTCTACTTTTCAAACCCATTAGTTTACAGACCTTAATTTCCAGCTTGCTCTCTGTTCTGGGTAAGGAATAAAATATAGTGTTCTGCTTTTTATGAACTACTTCTGAGATTTTGAAATGGTCATTTATTTCAAACTCAGATCCAGATTCTTCATGCTAGAGGTAGAAGAGACAGTTTCTCTGCTGCTATATTTATTTACCTAGGCTCAGAGTTTTAAAAAGTGTTCTTCTATAAAAGTAGTCTTGAAGTCCAAGACAACAACCTCAAACTCTTTTTAACAACTTAGATCAAAATAGGAAGTGGATGAGATACAGGTATCAATACTTAGCAACAGAAGCTCTAATAAACCACAGAACCCACGCAAGCTCTTCCAAAAAGTCTGGGCACGTGCATGACACCCTTTATAATGCTGTTTTATATACAGGGTAATATTATCCCAAAGTGTTCTGTCTTAAATGTGTAGTCTGTTAAATATGTAACTGTTTTGGTTTGAGTGGGGAGTCTGATTTCATTATTGGCCTTAGAGACATCCAAAAGGGGGAATGAGCAGCTATACCTAAAAGATCATTGAAAAAGTAAAAGGACTGTGAAATACTACAAAAAGTACACCAAAGCCTGCTCATTTTGTTGTTACTAGTGCCAAGCATTAGAATATAACTTCAGGGTTTGAGTGGATACCTGACTTTTGCAAAACTGGTTCAGACCCGCTATAATTTTTAGTTAAATTTCATTAAATTTATGACCTATATATTTAGGGACAAATCTTCAACCCAGCCACAAGCCTGAATAGCTGGACTAGGTTCTGGGAAGTTGTGCAGGGGAAAGAAGAGAGGCATCCACCCCTACAGGCTGCATAGTTCATCTAGATAGGCCATTCAACCCAATAAGTGAAGCAATTTTCTTCTGCACCTCTAATGTAGCCCCACTGTGAGAGGGTGATTGGAGGATTGATGCATATCCTCTGGGTCCACTCTCCTCTCCTCTACCCACACCCTACATATTGCCAGATAGGAACCCCTACTGAGCGGGGATCCATATGTGCAGAACTGTACAAACTTTAAAGAGCCTCTTCAAATCTACCCCCTTCTAACCACACCAGTTGAGCTGCATGGGAGCTTCAGCAGCTGTGGAAATGGGTGCTGGCTTTATCCTTTAATGCCTTAATTCAGAACATCTGGAGATACATTTTTCACCATAGTGTGGGAAGAATTTTCAGGCTCCTTTTATTTTTGTAATCAACACTCAGTTTGCCATATAATTGCATTAGTGCTCTCACCATACAAATGCAAGGGAAAATCTTTGCGATAGAAACTTGTGAAATACCTTATTAAAAATTACTAGAGGACACTTTCAACATAAGACTGTATTATAATGACATTTTTCTCTCTCATTTGAGAAAGTTTTTATCACATTGGGTCACTGGGATAGCCATATTTAGAATATGTTCAACTACACTAGAGAAAATTCTTATTGAACCACCTCCAATGTAAATTGTATCCCTATGCTAAAATCCTTTAAGCTGACTCATACTTTGTTATGGGCATATAATTGACAAAGCCTTAGTTTTATTTTATTTTTGTCCAGATTTTAGAAAATGAATTTCACTGCAACAGATGGCTCTTAGCATATAAAGCCTTTGTTATTAAATTGAGCAGTGGCATATAATACTAGACAGTTGGCTTTAAGTTAAATAAAGGCAAATATCAAATGTTTACAAGATATTAGGTGTAATAATTTTAGAGCAACTTTGTTGTTTTATTCAAAATAAAATAGCTTATTACTTTCCATTAGGTTGGCTTTTAACATCTTCAGATGTTTTCTCTCTCGGTATTTTGGTACTGTAAATAATAACTTATTGTTCTTTCTAACCTCACAATAGTGTGGGGCCTCCATCTATTTAAACCAATTAGAATTTTGAATGCTTGAGGGCCTGTCATAGCTTTTTTAATTATCAAGAGACAAAGCAGCAATATTTGCAAAATAAAAACATGAAAAAAAATTAAATTGCTACTAATGCATTTGTCGCTTATATCATTCAAGTGGAGTTATTCAAAGGGAGTTGGCAATTCGTAAAAGATGTAATACTTGAGGCTCAGCATCAAGCTATTCTGATGCACAGTGATGCCCAGGAAAGATAAGAGCCACCACAGGAGGCCGATGTGGCTGCACACAGAGCTTTTTAGCTATCTAAAAAGCTAAAGGGATACATACAGGAAATGGAAGGAGGGGCATGTTACCAAGGAAGTATACACGGGAATAGTGTGAGCGTGTGGGGACAAAAATCAGGAAAGCCAAGGCAAAGAATGAGTTACAGCTGGCAAGAAATGTTACAGACAACAGGAAGAGGTTCTTCAAATTTGTCAGACAAAAAAGAAAGATCAAGGATGGTGTGTGAGTCTACTGCTCAATGGAGAAGGTGAGCTGGTAACAGAAGATGTTAGGAAGACAGAGCTGCTCAATGCCTACTTTGCTTCAGTCTGCTAACAACAAATAACAGGTGACCAGACAACTAGCAAAGTTACCATAGACAATAAAGGGGAAGGGATGCGGATCAGGATAAGTAAAGAACACATCAGAGATCTTCTAACCAATCTGAATGAATTCAAATCAGTGGGGCTGGATGCTATTCACCCTAGAGTACTGAAAGAGTTAGCTGAAGAAATCTTGGCACCACTGGCAATAATATTTACAAACTCATGGATTACAGGAGAGGTCCCAGAAGACTGAAGAAGGGTTAATGTAGTGAAATTTACACTATGTAAGCTAAAAGGGTTAAAAAAAGAAAAAGGTCAAACAGTGTTTCAAAATTATCAAAATAATTGACACAAAACAAAATTTGTTTTTTTGGTTCATGAATACTTTAGAGTTCGACTTTGTCCTGATTTGAGATAGGGACAAATTTTGAACATGAAAGTATTTGTGGGA